TGGGGCAGGTAAATACTTTGAGTAGTCTTTAGAAAGGAATAAGGAAGCACTGATGGGCCAGATTTGGGAATAAGCTAAGGTCGAGACTTAAGGGACTAGAGTTTAGGATTAATCACTGGTTGTGCACCAGTGAGGAGCAGGAGGGCTGGAAGCTCATAGGCTTGACGGTGTTAATAAATAGGTAGATTAATAATCATCACAAATTACAACTGTATAATACATTCTTATACTAAAGTGCAAACCTTGGTAATTTTTTCTTTCTTCTTTCCTTCCTTTCTTTCTTATTCTTTATTTTCCTGCCTTCTTTTCTTTCTTCCTTCCTTCCTTTTCTATTTTTTTTTTTAAATGCAAGTGACTAGCTTAACTTTTGGTTGCTGAGGCATTGGCTCAGTCAGTTGAGCATCTGACTCTTGGTTTTGGCTCATGTCATGATCTCAGGGTCCTGGGATAGAGCCCTGCCTTGGGCTCCAAGGTCAGTGCAGAGTCTGCTTGTCCCTCTCCCTCTGCTCCTCCCCCTGCTCTCTTTCTCTCTCATAAGTGAATAAAATCTTTTAAAAAATGGTCAAAGTACCAAAGAAGACATACGAAAGATCAACAGATACGGGAAAAGGTGCTCACTATCACTAGTCATTAGGGAAATGCAAACTAAAACCTTGCACCTGTTAGAATAGCCATCATCAAAAAGATAAGAGATAACAAATGCTGGCTGCGAAGAAAAGGGACCCTTGTGTACTGTTCTGTTAGGAGGATGGTAATTTGGTGCAGCCACTGTGAAAAACAGTATGGAACCCTCAGTTTGTTTCCTGAGATTAAGAATTCCTCACATCAGGGAGGTCATATGAACAAACTGAGGGTTGCTGGAGTGGTGGGGGTGGGAGGGATGGGGTCGCTGGGTGATGGACATTGGGGAGGGTATGTGCTATGGTGAGCGCTGTGAATTGTGCAAGACTGTTGAATCACAGATCTGTACTTCTGAAACGAATAATGCAATATATGTTAAGAAAAAAAAAAGAAGAAGATAGCAGGAGGGGAAGAATGAAGGGGGGGAAATCGGGGGGGAGACAAACCACAAGAGACCATGGACTCTGAAAAACAAACTGAGGGTTCTAGAGGGGAGGGGGGTGGGGGGATGGGTTAGCCCGGTGATGGGTATTAAAGAGGGCACGTTCTGCATGGAGCACTGGGTGTTATACGCAAACAATGAATCACGGAACACTACATCAAAAACCAATGATGTAATGTATGGTGATTAATATAACAATAAAAAATTTAAAAAAAATAAAAAATAAACAGTATGGAAGATCCTCTAAAAAGAAAACACAGAGCTACCATGTGATCCAGCAATTCCACCTCTAGACATATGGTGGATATGTCTAAAGGAAACAAAAACACTAACTTGAAAAGGTATTTGTACTGCCATATTCATAGAAGCAGTATTCATGTTAGCCAAGACACAGAAATAACTTGAGTGTCTATCAGTGGATAAATGGATAGAGAAGTTGTGGTATGTAAGTATATATATGGAATATTATTCAGTCATAAAAAATGAGGAAATTCTACCTTTGTGGTAACATGGATGGAGCTTGAAGGCATTATGCCAAGTGCAACAAGTCACACAGAGAAAGATAAATACTGTATGACCTCACCTATATATGGAACAACAACAACAAAAGCCTCCAAACTCATAGAAAAAGAGATCAGGTTTGTGGTTACCAGAGGTGGCGGTGGGGAGGGGGAAGTGGAAAAAGCTGATCAAATGTATAAATGTCCAGGTGTAAGATAAAGAAGTACTAGGGATGGGACGCAAAACATTACATTAGCTAACACTGCTGTGTGATATATATGAAAGATGTTAAGAGATTAAGTCACAGGGCACCTGGGTGGCTCAGTCGGTTAAGCGACTGTCTTCGGCTCAGGTCATGATCCTGGAGTCCCGGGATCGAGTCCCGCATGGGGCTCCCTGCTCAGCGGGGAGACTGCTTCTCCCTCTGCCCCTCCCCCTGCTCGTGCTCGCGCTCTCTCTCTCAAATAAATAAATAAAATCTTAAAAAAAGAGAGAGAGAGTAAATCCCAAGAGTTCTCATCACAAGGAGAAAAGAAATGATTTTTTCTTTTCTTTCTTTTTCTTTTTATGGTAGTTGTATGAGATGATGAATGTTAGCTGAAGCTATTGTGGTGATCATTTCACAATATATGTAAATCAAACCATTATGCTGTACTCCTTAAACTTATACAGTAACAGAGTGATACGGGTTAATTATTTCTCAATAAACACAGAAAAAAAGAGGCAGTCATTTAAGAGTTGGCTATCTTGAATAAACACATTGCCAGCCACACGACTAGATAAAGAGCCGGGCTGCGATCCCTCCCACCTCACCACTCAAACCTCCATTGTCTTAGAAATCTATGTTGAGTTCATTTGATAACTATTTGAGCTGCTTGTTTTTTCTCCTCCTGTACTTTCAATTCCCACTGTTATGGGGTTTTTAAATTTTTTTTAGAGGTGGTAAGGGGCAGAAAGAGAATTGTAAGCAGGCTCCATGCTGGGGCTCAATCTCACAGCCCTGAGATCATGACCTGAGCCAAAATCAGGAGTTGGATACTTAACTGACTGAGCCACACAGGCTCCCCTCTTATGGGTTTTTTTAAAAAAGATTTTATTTTTAAATACTCTCCACCTAACATGGGGCTCAAACTCACAACCCTGAGATCAAGAGTCGCATGCTGCACCTACCAACCCAGCTAGCCAGCGCCCCTCCACTCTTGTTTTAAATTCACCAATAAAGAGTGAGCTTGCAAAACCCTAAGCACCCACCCTCTACCCCAGTAGAAGCAGAATCCCAGGCCCGAGCTATGACTTCACTGTGTGGCCCCAGGTGTGCCATGTAATTTCCAACACTTACAAGTAATAAACCTCATCTCTTTCAAAGTCTCCTGATGGTTATTCCTGAGGGTGTCTTGCAATCATAAGGAGAACCCCAAGGGCTGGTCCAGCTACAACACTGATTATCAGTAGGCTGAGACTGGCACACAACACATACATTTTCTCATCTGAATTATTTTCTGGGCCGGTATTGCTATCTGACTTCCTAATACCCACATAGACATTTTAATATATGAGGAAACAGACTCAGAGAAGTTAAGGGTTTTTCCTTTGTAGCTACTTAGGGGTAAAGTTGGCACCAGAATCCTGGTCTCTGATCCAGCGTTCTTTCACTTCTGTCAGAGAGATTCCTTCAATACAGAGGGTTGGGAGCCAAAGGTATTTGGCCTGTAGGAAGAGGTTGGGTGGGACCAATGAGGAGAGGAGCCTGGGGCAGGCTTATGGAGATGGGCAGAAACTCTCCCTGCCACAGGTTGGCTGGCGAACTTTGTGACCCAGCAATTCCACTCCTAGATATATACCCAAGAGGAATGAATGCATCATGTCCACCAAAGACAGGTGCGAGAATGTTCATTGATGTTTTATTGAGAATTATCAAAAACTAGAAACAACCCAAATGTCCATCAATAGAAGAATGGATAAACATTTTGGCACATCTCTATAGTGGAATACAACTCAGCAATGAAAATGAATATACTACTGATACACACAACAATATGGATGAATCACAAAGACATTGTGCTGAGTGAAAAAAGCCAGTTTCCAAAGGATGCATTCAGTATGACCAAAACTAATCTGGAGTGACAGAAATCACATCAGTGGTTGCTTCTACTGGTTGAGGGAGACTGACTGGAAGGGGTACAAGGAAGTTTCTGAGGGTGATGGAAATGTTCTATATCTTGACTTGGATAGCGTTAACACATGTACACGTAACTTTAAGATTTGTACACTTTGCTGTATATAAATTATACTTAAATTTATATTTAAAAAACTAAAGTTCAACTTTTTAGGAAAGGGTCAGTTACAGAAGGAAAAGGAAGTGTCTCAAAGAGCTGAGTATGGAGGGGACATCCCAGGCTGCCTCCTGTGTAGGGTGGCCAACTTAGTCTGAGTTGCCTGGGATTGAGGCGTTTCCGAGGACAGGAGACTTTCAGTGGTTGTATGGAGAGACTCCTGGGCAAACCAGGACAGCTGGTCACCCCACTCCTGTGGGAATAGGGAACTGAAAGGGAGTTTTGGACGTCTGGCAGACAGGCTGGATTCCCTTGGTCTCAGACCCCAGGGGCTGCTCCACAGGCTCAGAAAGGGACCACAAAATGGTCACAGCAGTAGGCATTGCTGGTTGACCACCGGAACATCAGTACTAGGGAACCATGCTTGTTCCCTGAGCTCCCTTTAGGAGCAAGAAGGGGTCGGGAGCAGAGCTGGAGGGACAAGGCCTCAGAGACTGAACAGGGTGTGACTGTCCAGGTTCGAAGCATCATGGCTTCTGAGGTAGGCTCTGTGGTGAGTCCTACTTAGCTCTCTCTTCACATCAGATATCCCCACCCCATCATCCCTCAAGTGCCTTAGCCAAGAAAATACCAAAGCAACACATCGATTTTGTGCAAGGAAAACAGAGACATGGGGACCTATCAGAGGCAACTGCTGTTGTATCTCTTCACCTCTACAGATGTCACAAGGCAGGGGCTGTCCCCACCCTGCTTTTGTTTGCCATAACCTGCTGTGACTTGAGCCAGAGGGGCCTTCTCTACCTTCTCAGAGCATAGGACAGATGGGGCCATGAGGGAGGGGCTCTTCCAGCTTTCTAGCTGAGGCCTGAGGTGGATTCTTTTTTTTTTTTTTTTTAACGATTTTTTTATTTATTTGACAGAGAGAGAGATTGCGAGAGCAGGAACACAAGCAGGGGGAGTGGGAGAGGGAGAAGCAGGCTTCCCGCAGAGCAGGGAGCCCGATGTGGGACTCGATCCCAGGACCCTGGGATCATGACCTGAGCCGAAGGCAGACGCTTAACGACTGAGCCACCCAGGTGCCCCTGAGGTGGATTCTGACAGAGAAACTGTTGGCCGGGCTGCCCACAGAGGGGAAACAGGAACCAGGAAGTTCTCAGAGGTTCTCAGAAGTTCTTGTAGTGGTGCACGAAGTGGGCCTGGTCCTGCCTATTGATGAGCTGACAGGCCTTCTCTACATTCTTGGTCATTCCTGGAGGGCCACAGCTGAACACCCCAATCTTCGGTACCTGTCAAGTGTGTTGAGGGGAACGGTTGCAGAAAGGAGAGGCCTGAAGGCTTAAGATGCTCACCCCTGGGAAGAAGCTGCTTCTCAAGCGTGCTGGAATGACCAAGGCATTGACCCTGGCCCTAAGGAGGAGGCTTGCTGGGGGCAGCAGGGGGTCGGGCTTGAAGCCTTCCTCCACACTTGACCCTATCCTGGGGCTGGCATGGGGTGGTCCTCCCCTCAGATTACATCTGCTGGGTGCTTGAGGGCAGGATATCCTGGAAGGGGAAGGCCAGGGTCCCAGGACAGGTGGGGTGGGACTGACCTGCGGGTGGACCTCCTGCAGGGACTTGAAGAAGGGCTCGAAGGGGGGGCGGCCAAAGTGGGTGATGGAGCGCAGGCCCGTGAACAGACTCCGGTTCAGCACCTTCTGGAAGTGCCGCTCACAGATGTACTAGGAGAGGAAGTAGAGGAGGAGGGTCACAACCAAGCAGAGCCAGGGTCAGTTCTTAGTCTAGATGGTGACCCACCTAGCCGCCCCGGCCGGCCGGCCCTGACCTACCAGCATGGTGGTCCTGAGGTCAAACTTCTCAGCCAGCTGGGTGATGTAGATGTGCACGGACACCAGGTCCTGGCGGTCATTCTCCTCCACCTCCCGGATGATGTCAGCCAGCCACTCAAACTGCCGCTGGGTTCGCGTCACCCAGATGAAGTAGATCTGGGGACACACGGCGAGAGCTCAGGACCTGGCTCAGCTCAAGGTTCCTCCACTCCAGATGCCTTCACCTGAGAGGCCAGAAAGCCTCTGCCACCCACAGACACCGAACCTCGGCAGCCCCACAAGCTTTTAACCAACAGACCCCAGCGGAGGCCCTTCTGTCTATACCTCCTACCCTCCCTCCAATGTTGGGCACGTGGACAACTGCGTACGAATGACCCCTAGACTCAGTTTCTAGGAGCTTAGGGCTTTTCCTCATATTACTCTGCTGTGACATGGGGACACAATCAGGCAGTCTGTCCCCATTCCTTCAAAGAATGGGAGAGAGACACTCACCTTTTTACAGAGCATTTGGCTGCCCAAGGATGACTTGAAGACTAGGTCTTTGAGGATGGAGGCAAAGGGGGTGACCCCAATGCCCCCTCCCACCAGCACTGACACCTCAAATTTATGCCACTCCTGGTGGCCCTCTCCAAATGGTCCATCAAGGTACAGCTGCCAACCAAAGGAAGAGAAGAGATGAGCCTGGTCTGGCCTCAGCTCTCAGGTTAGAAATGGGCGTGGGGCAGGGAGAAGAAGGATATGGCAACATCCCAGCCTCTTCTGAGGTACCCCAGCCTGGACTTGCGCTGGCTGGAGCTTCTAGTCTCAGGGTTGGGGAGGGTGGGAACCCTTTGCCAATGCTGGAGCCCCAAAAGTGATTCCCAGTGGTTGACACCTTTGGGTATCTGGCACAGCCGTCACCCGTTGGAGGTGAGTAGATCTCCCTGAGCCGAGTGGTCCAGGGGCCTGCTGCCCGGATGTGCAGGCTGAGTGTGTCCTCATGGGGTGCAGAAGTCAGTGTGAAGGGGTGGTACTCGTTGGTTCCCAGAGCCAGGCAGGCGATCCGCACCCACTGCCCTGACTTGTACTCAAAGCCATGGGGTCGCTGGAACTGCAGGTGGGTCACTCCTGGAGGTCATGGGCAGGCAAGGGCAGGGATCAGAAGCCTTGCTCCTAGTACCTGAGGACTGGCAGATACCCTGTCTTCTCCACACACCTGAGGCACCCTCCAACTCCCACCCTGACCATAGCTGAGCTTCAGGCCTGTTCTCTCTTTGTTAAAGAAGTTGATTAAAAGAAAAAAAAAAGTTGATTTGTGAGTACTGCAGAGTGCAAAGGGTGTGCTAACACCATGCTGAGGCTTTGTCCTTGAGTAATCTTAATTGACATAAAGTTGAAATAAGGTTAATTTTCTTACTTAGTCCTGAAGATTAGATGGTCCCACAACAGCTAAAATACCTGGGAGCGGGGGGACAGGGTCAGGCACAGGGAGTGGGCATATGGTCTGAGCAAGTGGGGTTCCTGGGGGTAGAAGTTGGAGGATGCCCTTCTCTCTTTCCTGGGTGACCCAAGAGCTGGGTTTCTCTGCTCCTGGTTCCAGCTCTCTCTTCCCCTCCACTCCTTATTCCCACGAAAGGCCTAGGCCCTATACCACTGTCCTGAATATCAGCCTACAAGTCAGGGGACCTCAGGTTCCCCAAGGACCATCTCAGTGTTTACCAAACCTCCACCATTTGAGAATTACCTTTGTGATGGGCCATTTCTGGACACCTCTGCATTATTGTTTACTTAATGTTTTTCTTTAAATTGACTTACTTTTCAATTTGATTTACCTTGACAAACTTTAGATCACTACGATGGGTGGAAAAACAGTATCATGTGTTCTAAATAGAAGGCACCACATTTTATCAGATTTTAACTGGATACTGTTTGGTACCTGACCATAGCTGAGCTTCAGGCCTGTTCTCTCTTTGTTAAAAAAGTTGATTAAAAGGAAAAAAAAAGTTGATTTGTGAGTACTGCAGAGTGCAAAGTGTGTACTAACACCATGCTGAGGCTTTGTCCTTGAGTAATCTTAACTGACATAAAGTTGAAATGAAGTTAATTTTCTTACTTAGTCCTGAAGATTAAATGGCCCCACAACAGCTAAAATCATCTGTCAGCTTCCACAGTGATGTGAACCCCCACTCTGGTCAACAGGGACTCTCAAAAACAGGCTCTCGAAATGTGGGCCAACTGCCCATCTCTGAAGGGGGGTTATTCTAGGAGAAGGGAGGGGTATATATGGTTCCCCAAGCTGCACCCAGGCCACACACAAGGGGGCGTCTGTGTTGTCCTTAAATTTCTCTGCATGAGGCCTGGGTGGCTCAGTCGTTGAGCTTTTGCCTTCCGCTCAGGTCATGATCCCAGGGTCCTGGGATCGAGCCCCCCATCCGGCTCCCTGCTCAACAGGAAGCCTGCTTCTCTCTCTCCTGCTCCCCCTGCTTGTGTTCCTGCTCTCGCTGTCTCTGTCAAGTAAATAAATCACATCTTTAAAAAAAAAAACAAAACAAAAAACACCTCTCTGTATGCACTTCCAACTGCCTCTTCTCATGGTCACTTCTTATTGTTTGCAAGTCGTCCTGGGGGCAAGCATAGCTGGGGCTCTGTTCGCAACAGGAAAGTTGCATGCATTCCCCAAGGGGCTATCAGAAGCCTCAGTGGTGGTCTGGAGGCCTGGGGAGCTGTCTCCACACATCCCATGAGTTGGCTTCCAGTGCTCCTCTCCCTGGGGTCAGGCTGGGCCTGGTACCTGAAGGCAGCAGCTCCGCCTTCACCACGCTGATCTCCACCTTCTTCCGGCTCAGGCTCACCAGCTTGTCTCCCCCATAGATTAGTGCCGGGACCAGGAAGAAGATGTGGAAACGGGGCAGCTGGATCAGGCCGAAGCTGCCGTGGATGATGAGCTGGAGACATGGCCAGTTAGTACAGCTCAGGCCCAGCCAGGACCCCTTCATGCACTCCCCTTGTCCAGACACTTCCTGCCTGGGCCCTAAGCCTGGGCTGGGTAGATGAAGCTGGTATAGACTTCAGAGACTGGGGTCTCCCACCTCAGGGTCTCACTCTGAGATCTTAGGTCCAATTCAGCCTGCTCCCTACCCTGCTCATTCCTGCCCCATGGCTTGGCCCTGCCCAGAGGAAGCCCTCACCAGCACGTAGAGCAGGATGTAGAGGTGGTGGGTCAGCCAGAAGCCCCGGAAGCTGCGGCGCCGGAAGTGGTGGGAGGCGAAGACATACATGATGGCCAGGACCAGGAGCAGGAGCACCCCTGTCATACCTGGGAGCAGGGGGACAGGGTCAGGGAATACTCTCGGGACCTCCGTGTGGGCTGACAATACAACAGAGCATTCCCCCATTCTGCCCTCCTTCTCCAACCTCCCTGGCCCCCAGAAGAGCTTGCCTGCAGGGGCTGCAGCTGGGGCTTGTCCTGGAGACTAGAAAGAAACCATGACCACTACAAACAAGGATGTACTTATGGGAAGATGAGGACAAGCCGAGATTCTCAGATAGAACCCCCAGACCCCACACACAGCCCCACTCCCTACCTGGGACCGTCTGGAAGAACCACCAGTAGAACTTTTGGGGAAGCTGGGACCTATAGGGCAAAGGTATATGGAGCTTCTGGCTGGGGCAGGTTTGGCTCCCCCATTGTCACAATGTGATGCTGCTCCCGCCGGCCCTGACTGCTGAGCTTACTGGGCCTCCACTTAGAAGGCCAGGGGTCCGTTCCAAGAACATGGCACCTAGCCTCCCACAGATCTACCCTCGGCTCTCTCGGTCGTTCTTCCTCCTGTGTTATCCTGAACTCTCCTACTGCAGCTGACATTTGCTTCGTAAGCTCCGTGGGGGCAAGGGTGTGGCTCTGCTCTGCTCATTGCTCTAATCCCTATGCTCAAACAATGCCAGGCACGTAGTAGATACTCAGTATTTGCTAAATGGTTGTGTGAATTTGGCCTGCCTGTTCTCTGGCACCTGGATGGGCACATAAGATGTGCTCCATAGATGTTTGCCCAGTGAACGGACGATAGGCTAAGATGCCATGCTCTTTGCTGGGTACATGTGGGAAAGGGTCTCCAATTCATCTCCAGAACATCTTTCCTGGCTAATCATGGCCAGCTTCCTTCCAGGTCAAGGAAGTCACCTTTCAGCTTCCCCAGCAGGCTTCTCACTCTCATTCAAAGAGAGAGTAGAGTGTCTAGGGCCATCTATTTCTTTTCCATTATGCTCTTCGGCCTGCCCCAAGTGTCCCAACGGGGAGCCCTCCCCAGAACTGACCCATCATTCACAAAGACGTTGGGGAAGATGCAGGCCAGCAGGCTGAGGGGACTGACTGAGAAGATGAAGACATTGACGACGTGGCCAGCACTGTGCAAAACTGAGAGAGACCCCGTTAGAGATGCCACCCAGGGCCGATGGTACCTCCCACCCTGAGGGACAGAGGAGGCCCAGGGAGGAGAGAGGGGAGTATAAGTAGCTCCGGTCTCCTCACTGTTTCCCCCACAGCTAGACCCAGGGGGCTGCAACAGTGCAGAGGAGGGTGCCCAGGAGCCACGCACTGGCCAGGACAACAGCAGCCATGGCGATCCAGCGATGGAAGTCCACGGCAGCGTCGAAGGGCACGTAGTGGTTGAGGAAGGTCTCTCGCAGGAAGGTGATGAGGTTGCGGCACATGGTGAGCAGGATGTAGGAGAACATGAAAGAGATGCTGGCGGCCGTGCCCCGGGACAGGATGATGCCCACAAAGGTGGTCTCTGCAATGCCCGAGGGTGGCGAGGCAAAGGCATAATCTGGGGAGGGGGCGAGGGGTGGATCAGCATGGCACAGAGGCTGGGGGCCTGAGCCTGAGTCGACACACCTGGGCTCCAGTGGGAAGAGCCACCAGAAGGCTCTCCATGTGTCCCTTCCCACTGCCCACAACCCGGAGCTCTTACAGTAGGCCCGCTCTGCAAACAGGCCCGCACAGATGGCCGAGAAGATGGCAACGCACATGATGTGTCGCCGGTAGTTCTCCACGAAGCGCTTGTACTGCCGAAGCTTTTGGGCCAGGAGGCCCCGTTGCATCTTCTCCTTCAGCGCCTCTGTGTACAGCCGGGGAGCGGGCCCCACCGCCCTGCAGCCATGGGAGGCAGGTGGCCGTTAGACCAGGGCACCCCAGCCTCCCCTGAATGCCACCCCATGAAAGATACCTGGTGACCTGGCAGGGTCAGGAGGGGCCAGAACAGATGAAGGAAACAGCATCTGGGGAGTAGACTCCTCTCCCCACCCCAACTTTTACCTCTCATCTTTATTTGCTCCATCTACCCCCACTCTTCTGTCTCCCCACTACTCCAATTCATCTTCCTCTGTCCGTCTGTCCTTCCCTCTTGCTGCTCCCTACACAGGCCTTGCTGCTGTGCCCAAAGAAGGCAGGAGCCAGGAGACCCCTTACTGCCATCTCAGTATTGCCTCTGAGTGCCAAGCCCTTGCCTGATGATGAGGGTGCAGAGGTTGGAAGATGTTGAAGAATCCTTTGACTCTGTGGCCCACCAGTCAGGGAATGAGACACATGACCTTGTGTGTCCAGGAGGGGTGGGCAGGGCCAGAAACTCTGAGATTTCTCCCCATGTTTCCTTGGGCCCGAGGTTCTGGAAAATACTCACTTTTTGCCAAACCTCTTCTTCAGCCCAGGGCCTCCCAGCTCTGGGGATTCTGAGGCAGGGAGCTCCAGTTTCTGGGAGCAGGAGCTGAGAAATGGAAAATGGGGCTTGTTCTCCCCTTGTCTTTGCAGCCAGGAGAAGAACCCCCAGATCAGAACTTCAGGAGATGGGGATGGATCCTGGGACCCAAGTCCTGCCCAGAGAACCTGCCCATAAAACTGGTCAGAGAGGGCGCCTGGGTGGCTCAGATGGTTGAGCGTCTGCCTTCGGCTCAGGTCATGATCCCAGGGTCCTGGGATCGAGTCCCGCATCGGGCTCCCTGCTCCTTGGGAGCCTGCTTCTCCCTCTGCTTCTCTCTCTCTCTCCCTCTCTCCCCCTCTGTCGCTCATGAATAAATAAATAAAATCTTTAAAAAAAAAAAAAAAAAAAAAAAAAAAAAAACTGGTCAGAGAGAAGCCAGGCAGGAAAGGCAGGGCAGAATGAATGAATATGATCCGGTCATCTGTTTTAGAGAAGGATTCTGTCCTGGAGTGGCAGGGAGAGAGCCAGCCTCCTGAGCCACATGGGGTGTGGGAAGCACTGGAATTTGGGCCAGGATCAATCATGGACTAAGAGCTACTTTCAGAGGGCAACTATCTGGTCCCAGGGACTGACTCAGCCAGCCCTACTTCCTTCATTTCTCTTCAGGGGACCTGCCGATACCCCATTCTTGCTCACCGTTCCCCCCGAGTCCGAGTGATGAATGAGACTCGACAGCTGATGTTTGGTTTAAAGATGTCTCCAACACCTGAAGTGAAGAATGAGAGTCTGGAAGTGTGAGAGACTGTTCCCACCCACTTCTCGAGGAAGGCTGCCACCGCACTTGCTGGTGACTTTGTCACGTTCTCATCTCTTGTTCCTGCCTGGTTCCCCTCACTGCCCACACTGAATACCCATTGTACACAGGGCAGCCACTGCTAGACGAGGTGGTGACTTGGCACAATTAGGAAAGGGAACTGCTGCAGGCAGATGCAACCCTGCATCCTTTGTATAAACAAAATAATGCCTCTTCCTCTGACTAGATATGCCCCAGGCCAATGTGCACTAGCTTAGTGAGTGGCATGTAGGCTGGATTTCAGCCCAGCCCCTGACCGCTCAGGAGGCATCTTTGTGCAGTGCGCAAATTGCACAGCTGTATGTGACACGCTAAGTGCCTGGCTCTATACTAGGCACAGAAGACTTGGAGAGAAATAAAACCTGGGTCCTATCCACCAGTAACTCTCATTTTGAAGGAACACCCCTCCCTGATTCCTACCACTTCTAACATACTCACACACCTCCACCTTTGACGCAGAGCTGCGTGAATCGGAGCTCGCTGTCATGGTCCCGCAGCATGAAGTGGAAGTCCTCCCACGTCAGCTCCTCCTTATCCTGGAAGCCAGACTCCCGGAACATGGACTCCACCACCTCTGTTAGCTGGGCCTTGGACAGGCAGTTGTTGGAGATCTCGATGAAGGACCTGGGGGAGGAGAAGAGACAGAGCCTCCTGTCATCCGGCAAGGTCAGGTTCAGGCAGGTGCAGGGTGGGGCGGGTCCCAGATTATCTAATGTGGTTACCAGTGACCCGGGAAATGGCACTGAGAAGGTGTTCATCGGAACTGCAGCTGACGTGAGGCTGGGTGGGGTGGCCAAGGGTTTGAAATTGAAAGTGAACTTGACCAATTAGAGAAAGCAGCCCTCAAACAAGGGGCCATTGAGAGGTGGGATGAATGTCCATTTAGTGTAGGGACACGTCCAGATGGGCCATGGGCTTCTCGCGTGGCAGGCTCTCTGCCCGCTCTCTTGTGTTGACACATCCCACGCCACCACTGACCTCCCCCTTTCACAGTCCAGTAGGGTCACAGATAGCCTGGGTGTAGGGGGAAGAGATGTAGCTACAAGGCTGCTGTTTCCTTGTGTCAACACCCCAGGGTACATGCAGGAGTGTCTCCACACCCCATCTGATAGCACCCAGAGGGGCAGATGAAGTGGCCATACTTTTTTCTTAGGCTGTGCTTTGGGACACAAACCAACCAACCATGCACGTTTGTGTGAGTCCAACAGAAAAAGACCTTTGTGTGCATGGCACAGCAAACACATTTAAAAAAAGGCATCATCCAAGTGAGACTAAGCAAGAGTCACAACTGGGTAAAGGAGGAGACGGTGGTTGCTCAGCCCTGGGGGTCAAGGACCCTCTCCTGGATTCCCTAGAGCCTCACCCAGGCCTGGGCCTGCAATGGCACACCCAGTGAGGGATGGACAGCAATCGGCTTCACCCTCGCCTTTTAAAGATTGATTGATTGATGATTGATTGATTTGAGAGAGGGATTAAGGGGAAGAATGGAGGGAGAGAATCTCAAGCAGGCTCCACGCTGAGCATGGACCCAATGCAGGGTTTGATCCCCCAACCCTGAGATCATGACCTGAGCTGAAATCAAGAGTCGGACACTTAACCAACTGAGCCACTCAGGCAGCTTCACCCCAGCCTTTCAGACGCTGTGGGATCTGGGCTGCAAGAGGGATGCGGCAGTTAGGGGGAATGCTGAAAGCCATGGAAAGGCTTGAGGTGGGAAAGGTAGAAGACTCCGTACCATGTTATGCGTTCTATTTATTCATTTGCTCATTTATTCCATCTGATTCAGGTAAGTTTGTATTGAATACCTGCTGTGTGCCAATCACAGCACAGAAGAGGTGGATTCGGCGGGAAACAAAAGAGAAATAAGACCCCTGGCGTTATGGAGCTGAAGAGGACTCTGTTACCGGAACAGTGTCTTCAGGAGTAAGAAGTCTATGCACTAAAAACTGGTCTTTTTTTTTTAGGATTTTATTTATTTATTTATTTGAGAGAGAGAGAGAGAAACAGCATGAGAGGGGAGAGGGTCAGAGGGAGAAGCAGGCCCCCCGCTGAGCCGGGAGCCCAATGTGGGGCTCGATCCCAGGACCCTGGGACCATGACCTGAGCTGAAGGCAGATGCTTAACCAACTGAGCCACCCAAGTGCCCTCAAAACCAGTCTTTATCAGCACACCATAACCAGAAATAGCTTACGCAGCAGGAAAAAAGAAGGGTTGGAATATAGAGGAACTTCCCATGTTTCTCCTCCCACATGGCATGGTGATTAATACGGGAAGAGTGACCAAGGTCATCTGTCCTCTATCCATTATTTCACAGTGCAAAGCACAGTATTATGTATGGTAACAAGAGTTTACAAAGGTCCAAAGGCATCCAAAACGGGCTAGTAGACTTCTGTTATTCATCATATTGGTTTGTTGTTTGTTTGTCTTTAACTAGGGAGGGAGAATTTTCTGGCTGGTATAGACAGTGCAGATAATAGACCCTCCTGGAGGCAGGGGCCTGGCCAGATAAACTTAAGAAGCTGGAGCCTCTGAGAGTCTAGGAAGCAGTAGCTAAGCCACCTTTCAATACAGATGGTCACACAGCCTCCTTGACCACCCTCTGATTTGACTTTCCCTGTATCAAACAGCAGGGAGTCTCAGAACTAGAAGGGCCCATACCATACCGCATCATGGTGAAGAACTCATCCTTGGAGAGGAAGCCATTTGCATCAAGGTCATACATGGTGAACATCAGGCGGGACTTGTCCTCTGGGGAGCCTAGGAAGAGAAAGAAGGATGCAGGTCACCTCTGTGCTGAAAGATTGCTGGTTCCTAGAATGGCCCACCCTCCCCCTACCTTTCATGAAGACCACCAGGATGTCCAGAAACTCCCGGAAGGACAGGTAGCCATTGCCATCTTTGTCAGCCAGGGAGAACATGGACTCCACAAACACGTCCTGGGGCTTGAGGCCCAGGGACTCGGCAAACTCAGCTCTGCTCAGCTCGCAAGTCAGGGCCTCCCGTACCTTCTGTGATGAGTCCAGGGGCAGGGTCCCTGCGTCTGCCTGGTCGATGTCCAGCACCTGCACCCGGGCAGCAGCAGAGGGAGAGAGAGAGAAGGAGGTGAGGCCTGGGCTGGATACAGTTCAGTGATCCTTCCCATCTCCCCAAAGTCCAGTTCAGAAAGGGTGAGCCCCGGTGGCCACTCCCGGTCCTTATATATACTTCTGACTTGGGCCTCTGCTCTCCTGTTGAGGCAGTGACTCAAATCTCTAGCAGCCAGTCCATTTTCTCCCTGGACCCAAGATCCAGGAGCTTTATAGAGTAGGAATGGTGCTAGGTCTCAAGGGGGGCTGGTGGGAATGAGAAAGGGCAAAGATGGGGATGCAAAATGAAAGAGCCTATCCTGGAGACAGAAGATGAAGTAGACAGGGGTGGAAAGGCAGAAAGAGGCTAAGGATATGTTCTTTTGTCAATTTAGACGGGGCTACCCCGTGCCTGATTTGGTCTCTACCCATTGTGCAAAGATTTTAAAAGTCCTATACATGTAACTACCATTTGTTAAATGCCTACAGTGTACCAAGCACCTGGTCTAAACACTATACATAGAACAGTGTTTTTCAAACTTGAAAGTGTATCAGAATCCCCTGGAGGGCTTGTGGGCCCCAACAGCAGAGTTTCGGATTTACTAAGTTCGGTGGGGAGTGCTGAGGCTTTATATTTCTAACAAATCCCCAGGTGAGGTGAGGTGAGGTGAGGTGGCTACTGCTGGTCCAGGGGCCATGCTTTGAGAACCAGTGATATGGACTATCTCACTGAATCGTCACAGCAACTCAAGGTGGTGGATCCTATTTTAATCATTGTTGAATAGATGAGGAAATGGAGATATAGAGCAGAGATGTGACTTGCCCAAGGTCAGGCAGGGAGGGAGTGGCAAAGCTATGATTCAATCAAGGCTGTCTGTCTCCAGCCCACAGACCAGAAGCTTAGTTCACCCCGTGTAGGATCCTGTCCAGCCCAGGTTCCCTCCAGCCCCCGGGCCAGGTCCTGTCTCCAAGACACAGCCATGGCACCTGGGCAAACAGGTGTCTGAAGAAGATCTCCAGGATGCGGCCCCGCTGCTGCTTGGTCACAGCCCTCCTGAACAGCTCGTTCTCGCTCATCTCAGCCACATCAAGGCCCAGAGCCCACTGCACACAGAAGTCCTGCAGATGCTGCACGAAGGTGCCCCGCTCCTCATCAGAGTTAAACAGTAGTACCTGGGTGGAAGGAAGCCTGTGCTGGTGCTCGGAGCTTCAGCCCTGGCACAGCCTCCCCTCAAAAAGACCTTGAGTTTAGGGAAGGGGAGAAAAGCTGCCCCCCCAATCCATGCAGGCTGGAACCAGGTGAGTGGCCCAAAGGGGGGGGGTCAGAGGGAGGGTCACGTGGAGTGTAAGGTCTGCTGAAAGGGTGCCTCTGTCCAGCATTGCCTTCACAGGGGAGCTCTGCAGCTGAGGAGAGGGTGAGCTGACAGGACTTGCTCAGAGAAGGGAGACAGAGGAGCCTTCCAGGTAGGGCAGGCAGGACAGCCATACCAGGTCATACTCCTTGGGGATCTTGAGCAGCAGGGTCCGGCGTCCACGGTTGCCAGACAGGACGAGGTTGACCTGCTGCGGGGGCCGCAGCTGGATGGTGCGGAGCACAGAGTGCCGCCTGTCCAGGACCTGCAGACGCCTGTCTGGGAGCAGCTGGATAGTGATGGGGTAGCTCTTCTCCCTGGGGCCCGGCCACTCCATCGCTGGGCAAGGGACGATTGGGCAGAGCAGTTCAGCAGAGGTACCCAGGCCCCTGACCTCAAGCCAATTCCACTCTACCAGTCTGAGCAGGCCACCCCAAAGCCTGGCTTTCTCCCCATATCTGTACTCTGGTTTTAATCCCAGGGCTTCCTATCCGGCCCCCAGCTCCCTCCCCCCACCCCACCCATCTCACCTGGCACACCATCTTTGACTGCTTCTTTCTTCACACTCTCTTTGCCTTTCTTCTGTAGCCTCTTGCACTCTCGGCTCCGGAAATGGGCCACCACCCCAGAGATAAGCAGACTCACTGAAAGGGATCAGAAGGAGCCAGTGGAGAGGGGAGCCCCTCCCCTGCAGCTTCACTGAGGGCTCTGCTGTTGCCCCTCCCTTCACAAGGTCCCCTGAGCCAGGCTTTGATGGTAGCAAGGAGCTTGTCCCACAGACCAGCAGGTTATGAGGAGCAGGGACAGTTGGCAGGCAGGGGGACAGCCAGGGAAAAAGGGGTGGGTGCGGGCGTGAAGAGCTCACCGAGCGGAAGACAGCAGAGAGCCACAATGGTAATGCCAAACCCAGGACCGCTGCCCTCAAAGTAGTCCAACATGGTCAGGGGCAAACAGTGGGGCAAGCCTTGGGTTGTGAGCTGCCGAGGCTGAGGGCACGGGGCATCTGAGGGAAAGGACACAGAAGGCCTCCAAGTCTGAGCACCTCACTCATGGCCAGGCACTCCTCCTCTCTCTCCGGTAAAGGACTAGGTACCGTTCTCCTTCCAGGCCCACCTCTCTGGAGCTTGTTCCCCTCAGTAAGTTCCCTTCCATACCCTGTTCTCATCACCCACCCCAGCTTGAGCACAGAGTGCAGCCTGCAAACTAGTCCAGTCCCTACTAGGGGAGGCAGCCTATTGCGGGTTTCCCAGCACCACAGCGAAGGGGCTGCCTGGCATCTGCTTCCCTGGACAGGACCAAGTGATTCGCTGCTCCCCCATCCTTGGTCCTTTCTCTGGTTGCCATTCACTATGTTCTCCCAGGCCACCCACCTGCATGCCAGATAAAGACATTGGGCTGCAGGGCACTGGGATCCACGTTGATAACAGCCACCAGCACATCCCAAAGAGTAGTGTTTCTGATTTCTGCGATTTCCTTTTCGGAGAACAGCCTAAGGTGGAGAAAGCCAGGAAGTTTTGGGATGGGAAGGGGCTGCCAGCCTCCAGCATTCTCGGACCCAGGGACCCAGATGAGGGAAGAGACCCAGAGGGGCTGAGGAGCACGGGAGGCCAGCTGGGAATCAAGGGCCCATGGGGCTGCTGACAGCACCTGCAGAGGACCTGGGGCCCAGGCCAAGGTGAAGTCTGAGGAAGGGACCCAGGCAGGCCTTACCCATTCCTGGTGTTCTCAAACCAGTAGCGGTCGCCATCCCGCAGCCTCACAAACTGGTTAAGGACGATGGTGCTGAAGAGGGGCCCGGGGTCCCCATGGCTCTCCAGGAGCCCCCCGGGGAGCAGCTCCA